CATTAAGGAAACCGCTGGGGTGTTTTTCAGAAAGCCACCAACTGACAGGAAGAGTTTGATGAGAACAGAAGCTTTCAAATATGAAACAATTTGACATTTATCATCTTACATGTTTCACAATATATGACTACTGTTATGACACATTATTGATGAGTTCAGTCCCAATACAATTATGTTTTCTTACATGCATATATTGTAGGCTACTGTCAGACCTTCCTCAATACATTTACAAATAAAAAAAGTTAAATTTTTTGCACATTTTGAAGAACACAACTCAAATTATATTAAAATCCTGTCTATGTAAATTCAAAACACTAGACAATTCCTCATATTATAAATTACAGGTGTAATATGTTTACATTTATTTAGTTTCTAAAATGTCTATCCTGTTGTGTTTATTTAAAAAGTTGTACCTACAATAACAATAATAATAATTGTTATATTTATATATAATAATTATATAATTTAAAAAATAACAATTATTATAATTCTGATTCTGAACTTTAAAATATATACAGACATTATATAATTGTAAATAGACGAAAAATGTATCTTAAGTCAAACCTTGATGTTGTTGAACTCTAAATCATAGTAAAATCATGATTATAAATTACAGCTGTAATGTAATATGTTTACATTTATTTAGTTTGTAAAATGTGTTTATCCTGTTGTGTTTTTATACATGTTTATTATAAAAAAAGTTGTACCTACAGTACGATTGTAGTGTGCAGTATTTTACTCTATAATTCTGATTCTGAACTTTAAAATATATACATTGAATAAGTGAAAACAAACGAATAAAATGTATCTTATTAATTAATAGTCAAACCTTGATGTCGTTGATGTCTCTCTCTGAGTGGCATCTGTTCAGTGTTCTCAATAGGAAGTGAACCTTCTCTGCATGCCTTTATATAGACAGAAAAACAATGTTTGTTTTCTGTCAAATCACATGACATGCCTATGTAAAAATGTCTCTACTTTTTCTCTCATTTTTGTATACATTTGTCACGTAACAGATGGAATGAATTGATCGTTCACGAATGGCCATCGGTATTAGCTATAGCAGTTATCTGTGTGAGATTTAAGTTAATTTGTTTTTTCTAGTTATAATGATTTTTTTAATGTCGTTTAATTTTACTTCAATAAACTTTTTTGTGGACTCAAATTAAATGCTCATAATATAAATATTAGTTTATAAACTAAATTCGAAGTTTGCCAATTCAAGTCGATTTCTGCAAATGAAATGAGTTAACTTGAGTTTGTATTTTTACAGTAACGATGCGGTACAGTAAAAGACTGTAAAATTAACAGTAAAGTACTCTGCTGCCAGTATTTTACCATTAATTTACAGGGCAATTTTTTGCACCCTCTAACAAAACTTACCAGGAAGTGCCTCAGGAAGACTTTTCCTGTCATACTGAAAGATATTTCTCTTATCAATGTCCCAACAAAACAACAAGATCCCCAAACCCATACAGCCAGTGACATCTGTGTAAGAAATTGAATATGTTCTTGAGCAAAATTATCTCCGAAAGACGTATTTTCAACGTCTTTATCACAAAAGTCTGACATTGAAAAGACGTCCACTGAGGGGCCAGAATGAAAGTTTTTATGACGTCTTTTTTGACGTGTTCTGCACGTCCGATATAGACGTTCATCAAACCTTCGTACAAGTTTAAACACTAGTTCAAATATTGCCATTGTGGACATGTTTTCAACATCATTTATCGTCTCATTTAGACAATTTATACTGTTTCTGGACCAAATAAACACCCAGGATGCATTAAATTAAAACTCATGTTTAGATCAATGTAATTTCCTTACATTGTTTAGATGAGGTTTATGTTGATATTTGTTTCATTTTAAGTCACCATTATGGTGATCAGTGTTTGCTTTAGTTGGGCTCTTGGTCCCAGCTCTTCATACTTTAGCTTTTCTTTGGCTGTTGTAACTGTTTGTATTACACCATTGTTGTGGCAGAGAAAGCCAAGAAAAAGTAAGATCGGCTGTCATCAGCTCCTTGTTGATGATGACAAAATCAACACAAAGTGAGCATTTAATATTGTTTAAGACTTTCGTCTTTATATCTTGCATTATAAGCTCCAATCTTGTGGAACTGCATTATTTGGGGCATTAGCTTTAAAATAATTACTTATTTGAAGGTGAATAAAAAGCATGTGTACACAATGTTTTGAGCAAGTGTATCATGTAGTCACACACAGACGTCAAGATTTTGCATATGATTCACAACAACAGTGACAACCAAAACAAAAAAGCTTTGGAATCAAGGATGTTTTGTACTATGAAAGCTACCCATCATGCATTGCAGCATGAAGCTTTTTTTATTGTCACCATTGTTGTAAATCATATGCATAATCTTTATGTCTGTGTGTCTCAATTTTATGTCTCTTTTTTTTCATCCACCTTCAAATAATTATTCGGGGCTTGACTCAAAACATTCGGGGCTGAAGCCCTGGCAAATCGCCTGGCGCCGTCCCTGGGCAGAAATAAAGTCAAACTGGTTAATAGTAAGTGTTCCTTTTTCCTTCTGTGATTTTGCTTGTTAACAGCAGGTGTTCATCACTAATGCCTATCACTAATGGTGGTGATGGCGCAGTGGATAAGACACATGCCTTTGGTGTGAGAGACCTGGGTTCGAATCCACTGTGAGACACCAATGTGTCCCTGGGCAAGACACGACTTAACCCCTAGTTGCTCCAGAGGCGTGCGACCCCTGACATATATATAGCAATTGTAAGTCGCTTTGGATAAAAGCGTCATGTAAATTTCAACAATCACTTATTCTCTTATTTATCTCACTGCAACACTGCGTCAATTTTGGAATCATCGGACTAAATGCCCTCTTTATTGGTGTAGATGTTTGCAAAGAAAGCATAAGTCTGGCCAACGGGAGCAAGAGTGAGGAATCTCAGCTGGAATCTCTGTGGAGATCTGAGTATGGAAGTAAAATAATGCCAAATGTCTTTGAAACAAAAAGCCTGTTGAATTGCACTACTTGAAGAAAAAAAATAGGCATTGCATTAACCCTGCTTGCATTTTAATGCATTGTATTTTTAGGGCTTGCATATTTATGGGCTGAAATTCAGCATGGTTGAATGTTTAAACTGTGAATATTTCAATTTAAAACATTTCAAACACATTTTCATTATTAAAAAACTCAATAATCCATATTCACCTTTCATATTTCACTTCCAAAATATTCAAACTGTTTAAAAATACAACCTATATTATTCAACAGGCAATTTTTGGTCCATTTTATATCGCTTTACAAATTCAGTGGTTCAAATTCGACCGTAAATTTAACGTTGACATCCAGGAACTACAGGGAAAGCAATAGATTACCGAGTGTAATTTCCATCTGCTGTTAGTCAACCTCACCAGCAGGGAGCGCAAGCGCGTGTTGTTGATGAAGACCAGAGCAACAGTTAGAGCAAGCCATTAATTCATAAAAACATAGTTCATAAATTCATAGTTTTATAGGGCAGGGTTTTCAATCTTTTAGATGACAAATATGATCACAATCCTAACATTTGAAAGGCAGCTTAATATTTTCATGTTTAAAGAGGAAAACTATTATAAATGTCTAAAATATGGTATAATAAAAATGATAAATTAGTTTTGCAACTTATAACTTTTGTATTTTATACTCATTTTATAATATAATTTGATTTGTCAGTATTTAACTGACGCACTTGAGACTCTCACTAAGAGCAAATAACACTTTCACAATTGAAATATAACCAGCACTTTTTCAAAATATTAACATATTCGGCTTTTGAACCATACAAGGCCAATTGAACCATGACACATAAGACACACACGAGTACAAGTATTTTTTTTAATCAGTTATATTAGATTTGACATTGATGGACACGTGTATATAGGATACAGTTTTCAGCTTAGACTTCCACCCTGTAATGATTTCCAACTCTCAAAACATTATTTTGCCATGTGCAATGAATCAAGCAGATCTTATCTATAAATGAAGAGTAAAATTATAAATGAAGAGTAAAAGTAATTTATCCATAATCAGGATCAAAAGATAGAATTAACAATGAAAATCACTTCTAAAGTAAGTCATTTATAATTAACACACTCTGACTCCGATGTAGAGTCACAACTTGACTCATCTTTAGGCAAGAATATTATACTCAGAGTCTCTGAGAATAATATTTTTGCCTAAAGATAAGTCAGGTTGTGAAAGAGTCCAAGGAAAGACTGACCCGTACAGAAAATATTCTCTCTTTCCCATTTAATTTGAGAAGACTCGAAAGACAAAGACATCTTTCTTTTGTGGTTTCACACCATGTAAAGGGCCGTACACACATTGTCTTGTACCCCAAATGTGTCAGAAAGTTGTTTATCTAAACATGATACACAAGACAGAACTGCTGCACAAATCCCTTCTGCAAGATGTTCAGCAAATATAACATTCGTTCACCACTTTATTCTGCGACATTCGAGCATTTGTCGTCGGTCTATCGGGAACTTAAAGACTTTTGCCCTCATCTAAACAAGTACAAAAGTTCACACTAAGTCAATCAGCTACATTTGAGGCATGAAGATTAATAAAAGTGAAGTTAAACATAATAAACACATCAAAATTATAGTAATGATTTCTTAAAATGTGATTACATTTGATTAAATGCTATTTAACATCCAAATGATTAAATGATAAAACACAAGCACATGATAAAACATAAGTAAATAATAAAACATTAGTAAGATATTTTTATTTTATTTTCCTGTTTTATCAATTAGCAAACCAGAAAGCTTGAAAAAAAAAAGCAGGTGTTAAGTTTATAAACTGATTAATGTTTCAGGACTGCAAGTCTAAATGTTGGTCATTACTGCTCATCTCAGCGCTGTCATATTTGCTCATCACCCCTCAGGTTATTATATGAAGATGTATTTTTTTTCTTTGAGTTCTTGGATGCCTTCAGAAACCAGGGGATCTCTGAGCCGTGCTTCCACAAGCATCAGGCCAAGCTCCTTATCCCAACCATACACTGGCAGTGGAAGATTGAGCAGGATAAAAACCATTGGAACAGCCATTGCTGATGGGGCTGTGGCTCTCGGTGAAGAAAAGGTTGCTCCAACACTTCCTGACTCTTCTTGACCCTCTCTATCCCTATGCATAAGGAATCATGGATCTTCTTCCAGTCCTCCAGCTCAGATCTCCACAGAGCTGCTCGTGAGCGGATGAGCTGAGAGGACTCACTCTCGCTCCCTTTGGACAGACTTTTGGTTTCTTTGCAAATAAAAAAGACATCTACACCAATAAAAAAAACAGACTTTGCAAGTGGCGTCCCTTTTGCCAGCATGTCGGGAAGGTCTGCAGCCAGTTTGGGAATGTTACGAGTACTTTTTGTCCCCTGGAGCCCGGCCTTGGTTGCAGACGCAATCCCCTCCTCAGTTTTGAGTATTTTAACAACTGAAACTGCATCCGCCAGAGCATTAATACCTTTGCCCAATTCTCCAGCAGGAAGTGCCAGTTTCTGGAATGATACAGTATCTGGAATGATATCAAACCCAGCCGGCCCCTCTACATGCTCCTGTCTACTGGCCTGCTCCAGACAGCTTAGAATCTTCTCCACATCCTCCATATATTGTTTGAAAATATTCTGGGCTTTTTTCCCATGCCACTGGTTGACTCCAAGTTCAGTGACGCCTGTGATAAAACTATTGGCCTTCATGACAGCCTTCAGACCGACTCCTGCTTTAGTGAAACCCAGTGACACTCCTGCAGTGACCGGGGCCAGAGCAAGACCAGCAATGGACAAAGCACCCCATACCATCCCAACCGACCTGCCAGCCACAGAGGAGATACTGGCCCCCTTCTTCATCCTGTCCAGCTGAACTGCGCTCTCTTCCAGATCTGACAGATGCTTCTCCAGTCTAGAGCGACACTGACTGAATAATCCAATGAATTCCCGAGCCTTCAATTCCTGAAAAATGAAAGCCAGCCTTGTGTGCTGGTCCATCCTAAACAATAATAGAAAATATATAATTTACAGCCACCTTTCACGATGCATGAGTGGAAAACATCAGATCATAAACATAGGTCTCACCTGATTTCGCATAACTGCTTCAAATGATCAAGCATTTTTTGCATGGAGTCCTCGCTTAAATTCAAGCTGAACTTCACTACAGGCTGAGCCTTCTTACATCTGTAGAGAGTTTGTTAACGCGCCCCTCTCCCCAACGGGCCTTTTTGGATCTGCTGTCACGGGAATCGTCGATCGCTTTTCCGAGGTCCAGAAAGCTACTCAGGCGATGAATTTGTTTCTGCCCCGCCGCGCTAGCTCTTCCGCGGGCCACTCTCGCGAGCCTCCTGCCAGAGCTCCACCACAGCGCCCCCCTCCGCAGACTCAAACAGCCCAGCGCAGACAGGGTGGCCGCCCTCGCTCTCGCTCTGACAGCCGCCGCAGACCGCCGCCCCCACGAGGCCCGCGACCTAAGATCACGCTGAAGCCTGATCATCAGAAGTCTGCCTAACAAAGTCAAGAAAACGACGGTGCTCTCCCGCTGCGGCCGGACCGCCGTCAAAGCTTCGCCCTCTGCCAGTCCCCGTTGTTTCGCCGACTGCTGTAGTGTTGACCGCCACAAACAAGCCGGTGTCCCAGCCCGCTTGCGAGCGACAAAAAGCCGTTTTTACGGCTACCCAGAGAAATCTCAAAAAGAGAAAATTTGCCAGTTGTGTAGAAAATGTGCCCACAATCATGTGCTCACCCATACACACAAGCATAACATATCCCGTGTCTCTATCAGAGCCCCATCACATGAAAAGGGCACACACTGTACTGTTCTCTGAACCCCGACGCGCTCAGTCCCTGGGCAAAGACGAGTTAGTCATCCGCTTCCTCAGGGGAGCTAAGAGGATGAACCCTCCGCGCCCCCCTTCGGTTCCTATCTGGGATCTTTCTATGGTTCTCGAAGCTATGAAAGCACCCCCGTTCGAACCGCTCGAGTCTGTGGACCTAAAATACCTCTCGCTCAAAACCGTTTTTCTGACGGCTCTGTCCTCAGTAAAACGCGTGGGGGATCTTCACGCGCTCTCATCCAGCGCCGCGTGTCTCGAGTTTGGACCGAATGATTCTGTTGTCATTCTCAAACCTAGACATGGCTATGTCCCGAAGGCGATTGGTACCCCGTTCAGGGCTCAGATTATTTCCCTATCGGCTCTGCCTTCATCCGATAGTGAGCGCGACGCCAATCTCCTCTGCCCGGTGCGGGCTCTGAGATTGTACACTACGCGCGCTGCCGCGTTCAGACGCGCTGAGCAGCTTTTCGTGTCGTTTGGGGGGGCGCACCAAAGGTCTGGCCGCCTCTAAACAGACACTGTCTAGATGGATAGTAGACGCTATCGCCTCTGCTTACGCATCTAAATGCCTGCCCTGCCCTCTGGGCATCAGGGCGCACTCCACTAGAGGCATGGCCTCATCGTGGGCATGGTCCTGTGGAATTTCCATTCATGACATTTGTGTGGCCGCGGGATGGGCCTCCCCGTCCACTTTTTGTCAGATTTTACAACTTGGAAGTTCCCGCCTTGCAGGCAAAATTACTAGCTGTCTAACGTCCAGCTCTCTAAGAAGCTGCATTACTGGGAGTCCCTCAAACAACCGGTTCGCCCCTTGTGCTCTCCTTAAATGCTTATACACTTCATGTGCCCGCTCTGCCGGCCTCATACATGCTTATGTATACACTTCATGTGCCCGCTTTGCCGGCCTCATAATACATTCACTCCACGTTAAAAATCCCCCGGTATCACCCTGGGATTCATGAGTGGATTCATAGCGCGCACGGCGTTGACCAGGTGTTCCCGCAGCGTAAGCTAGCTTACGCAATACGAGAGAACCTCTCGTAAGAGAACGAATCGGTTACCTAACGTAACCTCGGTTCTCTCTAGAGAGGGAACGAGTATTGCGTTCCCGGCCGTGCTTGCGCTACTAGCGTTTCGCTTCACGCTGAAATAAATCAACATATAAGCCTGGGAGAGACTGTTATATACACCATAGCCACGCCCATTCTGGCGGGCCATGACGCAATGAGCGCGCGGGCGCCTCTCATTGGAAGCGGGTTCAGCCCCGCTCTCCCATAGGCTTAAGCAGTTCTCTCTGAGCGAACCAATGAGCTGCTAGCTAGCCTGCTCTAGGTCTGCCGCAGAGGAACTGCGTTGTCAATGGATACAAATTTATGAAATAATTTTTTGGCTTCAATATCTCAGCAAAGATGAATCTTTCCCGCAGCGTAAGCTAGCTTACGCAATACTCGTTCCCTCTCTAGAGAGAATCGAGGTTACGTTAGGTAACCGATTCATTTGTTGTGCCTGTCAAATAGATGGTAACTTCTGCAGCTCTGATTTCTCCTTGCTTCTGTTCTAACACAAACACACAGATAAAAAAAAATATATATATATACTGTATATATATATAATGTAGTGTTGTACAAACAGAACCACTTCAAGACTTTTTACTAAGACCAAGACCACTTAATATTTGACTGTGTGTTTCATCTCGCAAATATTATATTCCACATTGTGTTGCGTTTTATCTGTTTATTTTTATTTGTGTGTTATTTATTTTTTAATTGTAATATATATGCCGTTTAAATGAGGAGGTTTAACCAACTCTGACTTGACTTAACTCTGAGATGGGAAACTCTGAGTTGTCGGTTTCAGAACAGCTGAATTGAGTTGGTTCAATCAACTCTGAGTAGATTGAATAATTAAGTAAACCTAATATCTTAATTTATCTTTGTAAAGAAACCTCATTGCTGCTGAACTGGCTACTCTCTGCTGTCTCCAGACGACGACACCACCGTAACCTCTATTGGTTGTAATTCGCAATCTCACCACTAGATGTCACTAAATATGACACTGTTAAGCCAAAGCCTTTTTATAACAGAACTGTAGCTGGGTAAATCACGTGACATTAAGGAAACCGCTGGGGTGTTTTTCAGAAAGCCACCAACTGACAGGAAGAGTTTGATGAGAACAGAAGCTTTCAAATATGAAACAATTTGACATTTATCATCTTACATGTTTCACAATATATGACTACTGTTATGACACATTATTGATGAGTTCAGTCCCAATACAATTATGTTTTCTTACATGCATATATTGTAGGCTACTGTCAGACCTTCCTCAATACATTTACAAATAAAAAAAGTTAAATTTTTTGCACATTTTGAAGAACACAACTCAAATTATATTAAAATCCTGTCTATGTAAATTCAAAACACTAGACAATTCCTCATATTATAAATTACAGGTGTAATATGTTTACATTTATTTAGTTTCTAAAATGTCTATCCTGTTGTGTTTATTTAAAAAGTTGTACCTACAATAACAATAATAATAATTGTTATATTTATATATAATAATTATATAATTTAAAAAATAACAATTATTATAATTCTGATTCTGAACTTTAAAATATATACAGACATTATATAATTGTAAATAGACGAAAAATGTATCTTAAGTCAAACCTTGATGTTGTTGAACTCTAAATCATAGTAAAATCATGATTATAAATTACAGCTGTAATGTAATATGTTTACATTTATTTAGTTTGTAAAATGTGTTTATCCTGTTGTGTTTTTATACATGTTTATTATAAAAAAAGTTGTACCTACAGTACGATTGTAGTGTGCAGTATTTTACTCTATAATTCTGATTCTGAACTTTAAAATATATACATTGAATAAGTGAAAACAAACGAATAAAATGTATCTTATTAATTAATAGTCAAACCTTGATGTCGTTGATGTCTCTCTCTGAGTGGCATCTGTTCAGTGTTCTCAATAGGAAGTGAACCTTCTCTGCATGCCTTTATATAGACAGAAAAACAATGTTTGTTTTCTGTCAAATCACATGACATGCCTATGTAAAAATGTCTCTACTTTTTCTCTCATTTTTGTATACATTTGTCACGTAACAGATGGAATGAATTGATCGTTCACGAATGGCCATCGGTATTAGCTATAGCAGTTATCTGTGTGAGATTTAAGTTAATTTGTTTTTTCTAGTTATAATGATTTTTTTAATGTCGTTTAATTTTACTTCAATAAACTTTTTTGTGGACTCAAATTAAATGCTCATAATATAAATATTAGTTTATAAACTAAATTCGAAGTTTGCCAATTCAAGTCGATTTCTGCAAATGAAATGAGTTAACTTGAGTTTGTATTTTTACAGTAACGATGCGGTACAGTAAAAGACTGTAAAATTAACAGTAAAGTACTCTGCTGCCAGTATTTTACCATTAATTTACAGGGCAATTTTTTGCACCCTCTAACAAAACTTACCAGGAAGTGCCTCAGGAAGACTTTTCCTGTCATACTGAAAGATATTTCTCTTATCAATGTCCCAACAAAACAACAAGATCCCCAAACCCATACAGCCAGTGACATCTGTGTAAGAAATTGAATATGTTCTTGAGCAAAATTATCTCCGAAAGACGTATTTTCAACGTCTTTATCACAAAAGTCTGACATTGAAAAGACGTCCACTGAGGGGCCAGAATGAAAGTTTTTATGACGTCTTTTTTGACGTGTTCTGCACGTCCGATATAGACGTTCATCAAACCTTCGTACAAGTTTAAAAACTAGTTCAAATATTGCCATTGTGGACATGTTTTCAACATCATTTATCGTCTCATTTAGACAATTTATACTGTTTCTGGACCAAATAAACACCCAGGATGCATTAAATTAAAACTCATGTTTAGATCAATGTAATTTCCTTACATTGTTTAGATGAGGTTTATGTTGATATTTGTTTCATTTTAAGTCACCATTATGGTGATCAGTGTTTGCTTTAGTTGGGCTCTTGGTCCCAGCTCTTCATACTTTAGCTTTTCTTTGGCTGTTGTAACTGTTTGTATTACACCATTGTTGTGGCAGAGAAAGCCAAGAAAAAGTAAGATCGGCTGTCATCAGCTCCTTGTTGATGATGACAAAATCAACACAAAGTGAGCATTTAATATTGTTTAAGACTTTCGTCTTTATATCTTGCATTATAAGCTCCAATCTTGTGGAACTGCATTATTTGGGGCATTAGCTTTAAAATAATTACTTATTTGAAGGTGAATAAAAAGCATGTGTACACAATGTTTTGAGCAAGTGTATCATGTAGTCACACACAGACGTCAAGATTTTGCATATGATTCACAACAACAGTGACAACCAAAACAAAAAAGCTTTGGAATCAAGGATGTTTTGTACTATGAAAGCTACCCATCATGCATTGCAGCATGAAGCTTTTTTTATTGTCACCATTGTTGTAAATCATATGCATAATCTTTATGTCTGTGTGTCTCAATTTTATGTCTCTTTTTTTTCATCCACCTTCAAATAATTATTCGGGGCTTGACTCAAAACATTCGGGGCTGAAGCCCTGGCAAATCGCCTGGCGCCGTCCCTGGGCAGAAATAAAGTCAAACTGGTTAATAGTAAGTGTTCCTTTTTCCTTCTGTGATTTTGCTTGTTAACAGCAGGTGTTCATCACTAATGCCTATCACTAATGGTGGTGATGGCGCAGTGGATAAGACACATGCCTTTGGTGTGAGAGACCTGGGTTCGAATCCACTGTGAGACACCAATGTGTCCCTGGGCAAGACACGACTTAACCCCTAGTTGCTCCAGAGGCGTGCGACCCCTGACATATATATAGCAATTGTAAGTCGCTTTGGATAAAAGCGTCATGTAAATTTCAACAATCACTTATTCTCTTATTTATCTCACTGCAACACTGCGTCAATTTTGGAATCATCGGACTAAATGCCCTCTTTATTGGTGTAGATGTTTGCAAAGAAAGCATAAGTCTGGCCAACGGGAGCAAGAGTGAGGAATCTCAGCTGGAATCTCTGTGGAGATCTGAGTATGGAAGTAAAATAATGCCAAATGTCTTTGAAACAAAAAGCCTGTTGAATTGCACTACTTGAAGAAAAAAAATAGGCATTGCATTAACCCTGCTTGCATTTTAATGCATTGTATTTTTAGGGCTTGCATATTTATGGGCTGAAATTCAGCATGGTTGAATGTTTAAACTGTGAATATTTCAATTTAAAACATTTCAAACACATTTTCATTATTAAAAAACTCAATAATCCATATTCACCTTTCATATTTCACTTCCAAAATATTCAAACTGTTTAAAAATACAACCTATATTATTCAACAGGCAATTTTTGGTCCATTTTATATCGCTTTACAAATTCAGTGGTTCAAATTCGACCGTAAATTTAACGTTGACATCCAGGAACTACAGGGAAAGCAGTAGATTACCGAGTGTAATCTCCATCTGCTGTTAGTCAACCTCACCAGCAGGGAGCGCAAGCGCGTGTTGTTGATGAAGACCAGAGCAACAGTTAGAGCAAGCCATTAATTCATAAAAACATAGTTCATAAATTCATAGTTTTATAGGGCAGGGTTTTCAATCTTTTAGATGACAAATATGATCACAATCCTAACATTTGAAAGGCAGCTTAATATTTTCATGTTTAAAGAGGAAAACTATTATAAATGTCTAAAATATGGTATAATAAAAATGATAAATTAGTTTTGCAACTTATAACTTTTGTATTTTATACTCATTTTATAATATAATTTGATTTGTCAGTATTTAACTGACGCACTTGAGACTCTCACTAAGAGCAAATAACACTTTCACAATTGAAATATAACCAGCACTTTTTCAAAATATTAACATATTCGGCTTTTGAACCATACAAGGCCAATTGAACCATGACACATAAGACACACACGAGTACAAGTATTTTTTTTAATCAGTTATATTAGATTTGACATTGATGGACACGTGTATATAGGATACAGTTTTCAGCTTAGACTTCCACCCTGTAATGATTTCCAACTCTCAAAACATTATTTTGCCATGTGCAATGAATCAAGCAGATCTTATCTATAAATGAAGAGTAAAATTATAAATGAAGAGTAAAAGTAATTTATCCATAATCAGGATCAAAAGATAGAATTAACAATGAAAATCACTTCTAAAGTAAGTCATTTATAATTAACACACTCTGACTCCGATGTAGAGTCACAACTTGACTCATCTTTAGGCAAGAATATTATACTCAGAGTCTCTGAGAATAATATTTTTGCCTAAAGATAAGTCAGGTTGTGAAAGAGTCCAAGGAAAGACTGACCCGTACAGAAAATATTCTCTCTTTCCCATTTAATTTGAGAAGACTCGAAAGACAAAGACATCTTTCTTTTGTGGTTTCACACCATGTAAAGGGCCGTACACACATTGTCTTGTACCCCAAATGTGTCAGAAAGTTGTTTATCTAAACATGATACACAAGACAGAACTGCTGCACAAATCCCTTCTGCAAGATGTTCAGCAAATATAACATTCGTTCACCACTTTATTCTGCGACATTCGAGCATTTGTCGTCGGTCTATCGGGAACTTAAAGACTTTTGCCCTCATTTAAACAAGTACAAAAGTTCACACTAAGTCAATCAGCTACATTTGAGGCATGAAGATTAATAAAAGTGAAGTTAAACATAATAAACACATCAAAATTATAGTAATGATTTCTTAAAATGTGATTACATTTGATTAAATGCTATTTAACATCCAAATGATTAAATGATAAAACACAAGCACATGATAAAACATAAGTAAATAATAAAACATTAGTAAGATATTTTTATTTTATTTTCCTGTTTTATCAATTAGCAAACCAGAAAGCTTGAAAAAAAAAAAGCAGGTGTTAAGTTTATAAACTGATTAATGTTTCAGGACTGCAAGTCTAAATGTTGGTCATTACTGCTCATCTCAGCGCTGTCATATTTGCTCATCACCCCTCAGGTTATTATATGAAGATGTATTTTTTTTCTTTGAGTTCTTGGATGCCTTCAGAAACCAGGGGATCTCTGAGCCGTGCTTCCACAAGCATCAGGCCAAGCTCCTTATCCCAACCATACACTGGCAGTGGAAGATTGAGCAGGATAAAAGCCATTGGAACAGCCATTGCTGATGGGGCTGTGGCTCTCGGTGAAGAAAAGGTTGCTCCAACACTTCCTGACTCTTCTTGACCCTCTCTATCCCTATGCATAAGGAATCATGGATCTTCTTCCAGTCCTCCAGCTCAGATCTCCACAGAGCTGCTCGTGAGCGGATGAGCTGAGAGGACTCACTCTCGCTCCCTTTGGACAGACTTTTGGTTTCTTTGCAAATAAAAAAGACATCTACACCAATAAAAAAAACAGACTTTGCAAGTGGCGTCCCTTTTGCCAGCATGTCGGGAAGGTCTGCAGCCAGTTTGGGAATGTTACGAGTACTTTTTGTCCCCTGGAGCCCGGCCTTGGTTGCAGACGCAATCCCCTCCTCAGTTTTGAGTATTTTAACAACTGAAACTGCATCCGCCAGAGCATTAATACCTTTGCCCAATTCTCCAGCAGGAAGTGCCAGTTTCTGGAATGATACAGTATCTGGAATGATATCAAACCCAGCCGGCCCCTCTACATGCTCCTGTCTACTGGCCTGCTCCAGACAGCTTAGAATCTTCTCCACATCCTCCATATATTGTTTGAAAATATTCTGGGCTTTTTTCCCATGCCACTGGTTGACTCCAAGTTCAGTGACGCCTGTGATAAAACTATTGGCCTTCATGACAGCCTTCAGACCGACTCCTGCTTTAGTGAAACCCAGTGACACTCCTGCAGTGACCGGGGCCAGAGCAAGACCAGCAATGGACAAAGCACCCCATACCATCCCAACCGACCTGCCAGCCACAGAGGAGATACTGGCCCCCTTCTTCATCCTGTCCAGCTGAACTGCGCTCTCTTCCAGATCTGACAGATGCTTCTCCAGTCTAGAGCGACACTGACTGAATAATCCAATGAATTCCCGAGCCTTCAATTCCTGAAAAATGAAAGCCAGCCTTGTGTGCTGGTCCATCCTAAACAATAATAGAAAATATATAATTTACAGCCACCTTTCACGATGCATGAGTGGAAAACATCAGATCATAAACATAGGTCTCACCTGATTTCGCATAACTGCTTCAAATGATCAAGCATTTTTTGCATGGAGTCCTCGCTTAAATTCAAGCTGAACTTCACTACAGGCTGAGCCTTCTTACATCTGTAGAGAGTTTGAGCAGGATTAACAAACACTTGCCTTTATTTTTAGACAGGTCTATATTTTAGAGATTGTCATAAAAGCAAATAAAATTTTAATTCAGATTGAACGATTCCACTTAGTTTGGCCTAAGATGTTAAATTAACCCCAGTCTTACCCTAATATTTATAATACTTTTGATAATCAATATTTTGATAATCTGTGTGTATTAATATGTGTATATAATCAAAATTCTATCCTTTAAAAATGAACATTGCATGAATGTCAGTACTAACCTTTTCTCCATTCTCTCACAAATCTGTTCTGTGATTTGTATGTATTTGTCTAGTTGAAAGGACAGGACGTCCAAGTTACTGAGTGAAGGAAGGAAGAAGGTTTCTGCATTTCGTTTAAAGTTGATGAGGAGAGGAGAGATCATTCTTGCAGCTGTGATGACTGATCGCACACTTTCAGGACTCTCGTTCTCAGCCCAGAAGCTCTCTCCAGTGAAGACATACAGTGAGGTGACTGCGAGCTTCTCCACTGCATCCAGGAAGACGTCAAGTTTCTTCAGCCCCTGAAGTGTGTTCTCCAGGACAGCACCCAGTTCCTTCTCCAGCTCCTTATTAATGGACTCAGATTTTACACTATTCTTCAGGCACTCCCACAATCCCTTGGCTTTATTATTTGAGCGCTTTAGATAGTCAGACTTATGACTGACTTTGTCTGCTCGGTCCTTGATGCCTCTCATGATCTTCAGCTCTTTCTCTCTCTCAAGGGTCCATTTGTGTTGTTTGTCACAGAAGTCCCTCACCGTCTGAATGTAGTTGAGTGTGTCCACTACATACTCCCACTGGAGCTTCTGCAATTGTTCCCTGCGTTATAGAATCAAAGCAGAGCTATTTACGCAGTAACAATAATATTTAATATCTGAATAAATATGTGATTAATGCATTTCAAAACAATTTAATCACAACAGCTTAAAGGTGCTGTATGTAACTTTTTGACTCTACTAAAACAAAACAAAAAAACACCATAATATGTTTGTAATAATACTGTCTTTTTTGGCTTCTGACAGTGTGTGTGTCAAACACATTTGCAGCAGCAAAGAAAGTTTAAGTGAAATGAGATCAGGTGATGACAGTTTCCTGTTGATGGTTTTATAATCATCATGAAATAGACTGATGCACTTATGTCATTTGAATATAACAATTAATGATGTTGTTCCATTAATACATTCATATTATAAACCCTGTGTTACTGCAGCAATCATTTAGAGGATTTTAACAAACATGAGAAAAATAGTTAATTTATGATGACACACAGATATCAACAATCAGCGTATGAATCTCAACAATGGTGACAGTCAACAACATAATCAGATAAACTCTGAACATCACACAAAATCTACTAAATGTTACAACAAAAACAACAGCAAACAAATATATTAAACAAAATAATATGACAATTCAGTGCATAATTTATTCACACTGCAATGCATGCTGGGAGTTTTGTACTATGTTGGCACTCAGCATGCATTGCAGCTAGATACTTTTGATTGTCACCATTATTGAGATTCATACGCTGATAATTTGTTGATATTTGTGTGTGCCATCAAATTAAGTTTTTGTGCTTATGTTTGTTAGAAGATTTTAGCAGATTTTCTTATAATACTGTAAAAACACAGGGTTTGTAATCATCAGGTTATTTCATAAAAATTTCAAAACCATCACCTGATCTCAATACGTTTTATCTTCCTATTCTAATGCAAATGTGTTTGACAAACACAGTCACATCAGCAAAAACAAACAAAAGATATAATTGAGTTAAGAGCCCAACTAATGGAAACACTAATCACTGTTATGGTGACTTCAAATGAAACAGAGTTAAACCCCTGTTAATTCTCAAAAAAAAATTGTAGACGTCTGACAGAAACAAAGTCAATCTGGTCAGTAATAAGTGAAGCTGGTAATGCTGTTTGTGGAGTTGTTTAATCCTCCTCTGCTGAAATGTAATGTCTTCTTTCTTTTCCTTTGATTTCAGGATGTGGTTGCAAGTCAGTTCCTTTTCAGTTGATTTCAGGATGTGGTTGCAAGTCAGTTCCTGTGTTTCTGCTCATCTCTTTTTCTGTTCTCTTCTTTCCTTCAGTTATTCTGCTTGTTAACAGGCTTATTATGGCTAAGATTATAGATTTTTGAAAGAATCATCCAAATCACCGTCTCAGACTTTCATTAAAGGAACCGGTATTGAATTTGTAGAACAGTATAAATATCTAGGAACAATAATTGATAGTGACTTGAAATTTGATGCAAATTCTGATGCAATTTGTAAGACGGGTCAGCAACGTCTGTATTCCCTCAGGAAGTTAAATGTTTTTAATGTTGATAAGAAAATGATGTGTTTGTTTTATAAATCTTTTATTGAATCTGTTTTTACTTTTTCTATGATTGCATGGTATGGAAACTTGAACATTAGAGACAAATACCACCTAAACAACATTGTGAAGGTGGCTGGTAAGGTTATTGGGATCGCACAGACTCCCCTGACTGCTATCTTTGAACAGCATGTTCTCCGTAAGTCCAGGTCTATTCTAGAGTACAAAACCCATCCACTACATTCTAAGTTTGAAATTCTTCCTTCAGGTCGCAGATTTAGAGTTCCACGATTCAAGTGCAATAGGAGCAAAAACTCATTTGTTCCCTGTGCAATAACCCTGCTAAATAGTTTCAGGTAACCTCATATTTAGAGAGTGGTTTACGTTTTTTATGGTAGGCTTACTTATAGTGTACTGTACTGGTACATTTCATTTTATTTTATTTCGTTGTGGGTATCTTTTGTGTATTTGTGTTGTTACTCTGATCACTGTATGTATGTATGTTTCATTTTGTGCCCTGAGTGCAAATCAAGTTTCCCACCTGGGGGAATGAAATAATAAATTAAATGACTCTATATTGAATATACACAGATTTTGTGGCTCAGATAAGGTCCAGTTAGTTCTGGTTTATTTCTTTGCTCTTGGCTGAAAGTTTAACCTTTTGATTCCACAATATAACATTTTCAGTAATTTCATTATCCAAAATATTTCTTAAAAGTTGTTCTAGTCAAAAGACTTTGAAATTATATTTTAATTGGACACACAGACATCAAGAATCAGCCTGTGATTCTCACCAATGGTGACAATTATATTGCATGTTGCAGTGCATTCTGGGTGCCACCAATCAAAACTCATTCATGGCTCCCATCATGCATTGCAGTGTGAATAAATTATTATCTGAATTCTCTTAGTAATTACCTTTTGCTAATTTAGAGTCACCAAATACAGGTCAAATGATTGTGAACTAATGATTATATTAAAACATAAACAACACCATCAGATCACATTTTCTATTTGTTCATCTAGCTGTTTTAACTCAAGTTTAGCAGCCAAACAACATCTAAAGTTAATGATTTAAGGGTCAAGAGCCCAACTAAACAAAACACTGATATAATGGTGACTTAAAAATTCCGGTTTTCTCCTTCAGTGATTCTGCTTGTTAACATCAGGTGTCTTCAATAATGCTCAATCATCACTCAATTATTCACTTAATTATCTCATTAACTTTAACACTGCTTCAGTGTTCATTTAACACTCTGCTCAGAGTTTATATACAGGTCCTTCTCAAAAAATTTGCATATTGTGATAAAGTTCATTATTTTCCATAATGTAATGATAGAAATTAAACTTTCATAAATTTTAGATTCATTGCACACCAACTGAAATATTTCAGGTCTTTTATTGTTTTAATACTGATGATTTTGGCATACAGCTCATGAAAACCCAAAATTCCTATCTCAAAAAATTAGCATATTTCATCCGACCAATAAAAGAAGTGTTTTTAATAAATAAAAAAAAGTCAACCTTCAAATAATTATGTTCAGTTATGCACTCAATACTTGGTCGGGAATCCTTTTGCAGAAATGACTGCTTCAATGCGGCCTGGCATGGAGGCAATCAGCCTGTGGCACTGCTGAGGTGTTATGGAGGCCCAGGATGCTTCGATAGCGGCCTTAAGCTCATCCAGAATGTTGGGTCTTGCGTCTCTCAACTTTCTCTTCACAATATCCCACAGATTCTCTATGGGGTTCAGGTCAGGAGAGTTGGCAGGCCAATTGAGCACAGTAATACCATGGTCAGTAAACCATTTACCAGTGGTTTTGGCACTGTGAGCAGGTGACAGGTCGTGCTGAAAAAAGAAATCTTCATCTCCATAAAGCTTTTCAGCAGATGGAAGCATGAAGTGCTCCAAAATCTCCTGATAGCTAGCTGCATTGACCCTGCCCTTGATAAAACACAGTGGACCAACATCGATTGTCGAGTTCGCGCGCGCGATCATTGGTGTTCAACATCTGATTCGGATGAACTATCCATTTGAGCTGATATTCTCAAAACACCACACAGCACCGTCATCGGCTGACAGCTGTCAGTCTGAGTCTCCACTGTTACTTGTTACCAATGATTGCGCGCGCAAACTCGACAATCGATTACTGTGGACTTCGACCGAAAACAGGAAGTAAATATAGGTACGCGAGCTGGCTGAATTAACATCATTTTTATTAATATCTTTCACATCTACTGCAGTCATATTGACCGTGGTCACTCTAAATAACACCACTCACATGGCTGTGCACTCGTAATGACAAATCAAGGATGTTAAGAGGCTAAAAGCAGGTTTAGAACTTGCCCCATTGAAGTCAACAGGGTGCGAATTTTAAAAAGAGGATAACACGGTTTAGGCAACACCGATTTTTGTCGTTTTTGTCTGTACTGACAGCAACCCAAATGTACAAAAAAATTAGATCAATGTTAAAATTGAAAACAATAAAAGACCTGAAATATTTCAGTTGGTGTGCAATGAATCTAAAATATATGAAAGTTAAATTTTTATCATTACATTATGGAAAATAATTAACTTTATCACAATATGCTAATTTTTTTAAAAGGACCTGTAATTCACACTTTTAAGTGTTAATTTAACACTCGGGATTTTACTGCTAGACTAATGGGACTCATCACAGCACGTTTGCATATTGTTGCCCTATTGTTTGTTTGATTGCTTCTATCGCTCTCCTCATTTGTAAGTCAGTTTGCATAAAAGCGTTTGCCAAATTATTAAATGTAATAACGTTCTTAATTCACATCAAAAATAGAAATTTAATTTGTTGACTTTTTTTCTCTGTCTGATCACATTCTGACATGGCTTTTTGTTTTGGAGGCAACTTTGTGTTATTACAGCCTAGAAAAATATGGGGGGGAAATATTTGAACTAATCATAAGATAACCAGAGGTGGGTAATCCAGGGGTCAAAGAGTAAAAGTCCTGCCATAAGTTTATTCCAACCATGAACTCAGTCAGCTGATTTCACTGATTAGTTCTGTCTCCTGTCTGAATCAGCAAATACAGGTGATTGGAACAAAATACTGAGGAGGACTTTTACTTTCTGAACCTGGACTTTACACCTCTGGCCACATGTCAGCCAAGAGTAAAGAAATAAACCAGAACTGGATCTTATCGCAGCCAAAAGAATCTGTGTATATTAAATATAGAGTAATTGCAGCCTTAATAAAGCCTGTTAACAAACAGAATCACTGAAGGAAAGAAGAGGACAGAAAAAGGGACGAGCAGAAACACAAGAACTACAACTGACTTCAGACACAGTCTTAGATGAAATCCACTGAAGAGAAAAGAAGACATTAAATCTGTGAAGATCTCAGCAGAGGAGGAATAAACAACTCCACAAACAGCATTACCAGCTTCACTTATTACTAACCAGACTCACTTTATTTCTGTCAGACGTCTACAGAAGTTTTATTGAGAATTAACAGAGGTTTAACTGTTTAATTTGAAGTCACCATAACAGTGATTAGTGTTTCCATTAGTTGGGCTCTTAACTCTTATTACATCTAATGTCTATTTTGGCAGCTATGGCAGTGTGTGTGTTAAACACATTTGCAGCAGCTTTGATGGTTTTATAATCATCATGAAATAGACTCAATCGCTGAGGTAGGGCTGGGCAATATATTGAACGAAATTGTTATGCGCATCTCTTCAGCAAAGCTGGTTCCTTGATTAGTAGTAAATCGCCTTCACCTGCTTTCAGATGGAAGATGTGATGCAGATATGTGTTAAAGTTAATGAGATAATTAAGTGATTAATTTAGTGATTGAGCATTATTGAAGACACCTGATGTTATCAAGCAGAATCACTGAAGGAGAAAATCACAAATTGTAAGCCACCGTTATTGTGATCAGTGTTTGCTTAAGTTGGACTCTTGACCCTTATACTTTCACTTTAATTTTGATTTGTCTGCTGTTATTGATTTATAACAGTCAAATGAACAAAAAAACGTGTGATCTGATAGTGTTGGTTATGTTTTGACATAATCATGTTGTGATCTGAAAAATTAAACTTACTGAGATAGTTCAGTTTAACTCATTAGCAACAGCTTTGTGATTGTACAGCATATGATTATCAGTATTCTTATAATACAAAATATTGCATAAACATTGTTCTGATCAAAACCCTTTTAAAAGAATTTAGAAACACAGACATCAATAATCAGCCTGTGAATCTCAACAACGGTGACAATAATAATCCATGTTGCAGTGGCTGCCACCAATCACAACTCATTAATGGCTCCCATCATGCATTGCGGTATGAATAAATTATGATCTGAATTGTCTATGTAATTTACTTTTCCTACTTGAATATTCTGCTCGTCACCATTGTTGAGATGCATTGACTGAATCTTGATGTCTGTGTGTGCCTAAAAGAAAGATTTTTTTTTAAAACAACTTTCAAGAAATCCTTTATATTGTATCTAAAATTCTGGATATTTATCCAGAATCACAGTTATGCTGTAACCAACAGCATAAATCACAAAAATAAAGATCAAATAGTGATTGTCATAATATAGCCAACATCATTAGATCACTTTATTTCATTGTTCATCTGGCAGTTATAACTCAGATACAACAGCCAAACAAAATCTAAAGTTAATAATCTAAGGGTCAAGAGTCCAACTAAAGCAAACAATGATCGCCATAACGGTGGCTTACAATTTTAGATTTTCTCCTTTAGATGCTCAATCATCACTCAATTAATAACTTAATTATCTCATTAACTTTAACACTCTTGAGTGTTAATTGAACACTCATATCTGCATCATATCTTCCATCTGAAAGCAGGTGAAGGTGACTTACTACTAATCAAGGAACCGGCTTTACTGACGAGATGCGCATAACAATATCGTGCGATATATCGCCCAGCCCTATGTGTATGTCAATGTAGGCCAGTTTTTTTTTTTTTTCATGTTTGTTAAAAGACTTATTTGACGAAGATGAAAAGATTCTCATGCTGCAGATGTGAATATATTAATGGAACAATATAACTGTCGGATTATCAAAACAATGAATCAGTCTATTTCATGATGAGTATAGGTCCATCAACAGGAAACCATCATCACTTGATCTCATTTCACTTTAGCTTTTTTTACTGCTGCAAATGTGTTTGATACACACACTATCACAGGAGCCAAAAAAGACAAAATAAGCCTATTAAGAGTTGAGAGCCCAACTAAGGGAAACACTAATCACTGTTATGGTGACTTCAAATTAAACAGTTAAACCTCTGTTAATTCTCAATAAAACTTCTGTAGACGTCTGACAGAAATAAAGTGAGTCTGGTTAGTAATAAGTGAAGCTGGTAATGCTGTTTGTGGAGTTGTTTAATCCTCCTCTGCTGAGATCCTCACAGATTTAATGTCTTCTTTTATTTTCAGTGGATTTCATCTAAGACTCTTTGCTCTTGGCTGACATGTGGCCAGAGGTATAAAGTCCAGGTTCAGAAAGTAAAAGTCCTCCTCAGTATTTTGTTCCAATCACCTGGATTTGCTAATTCAGACAGGAGACAGAACTAATTAGTGACATCAGCTGACTGAGTTCATGGTTGGAATAAACTTATGGCAGGACTTTTACTCTTTGGCCCCTGGATTACCCACCTCTGAAGATAACAAATAATAAAGTACCCACCTGGTGTCCATCGTAGCCTATTTCACATTCTGCAGATGGTAAACTCTGGTGATGAAACTTGTCAAACTGAGTGGAGAAGGCAAGAGGGAAATCTTTTGTTTTTGCTCCAGGCAGAGGTTTAAGTTTTGTTTTCTGTTCTTCATTTCCTTTGCTCCGCCCCTCAGCTCAGAGTGTTCAAGCGTTCAAAAGAATTGTGTGTTATAGGCTGGGTTAAATACAAGGCCAGTATCGCAAAAACAGATACTAATAATATTTTATTTTAATTTTTCTAATAATCACTTGAACTCACATGCCTCTAAACAAAACTGATCTTTTCAATTATTTGTAAGAATGAAATGGGTAATTATACCCACTTCGCATTATATTTGAAAGGCATGTTTTTTGTAACATTTAATTGGCCTTAATTATGTTTTGTTTACACTGTCAAAAAATTACAAAAAATGCACCTTTAATTTCTCATTTTAGGAGTAACCTTATAGGTTCACCTTTGTACCTTCTCTACCCATAAAGGATATTAGTACCATAATTGTACCACAGAATCATTGTTCTGGGCCCCCAACAGCATCATAAGCTTCAGCTATAGCAGAGAGTAGAGACTAGTGATGGGACTGGTTCCCACTCAGTCAGTCACGTTCAACGTTACATCGATACTGACGTATCGGTGTCTCGCCTGGGAGCCCAATTATCCTCAAATGGGTAAATGGTAAATGGACTGCATTTATATAGCGCTTTCACAGACCCAATGGCCACCAAAGCGCTTTACATTTTGCCTCACATTCACCCATTCACTCACTCATTCATACACTCATTCACACACCGACGGCGGTGTCAGCCATACAAGGGGCCACTCAGCTCGTCGGGAGCAGCTGGGGTTAGGTGTCTTGCTCATGGACACCTCGACACTTAGTCAGGTGGAACCGGGGATTGAACCATTTCAATATAATACGGTATCCTCATTTCTTTCATCCTTCGACTGAAGTGGATTCCGGTTGCACAGCTTCGGTCCAACACAGTCTCATCCCAAGACGTCAACTAACTGACGCTTTTGACCATACGTCAACATCCGACGTTTTAGGGTACCCTTTAACGTCAGTTAGTTGACGATCCTAGGGCGTCATACAACTGACGCTTTACCTTTAGCGTCAGTTAGATGACGCGGGTAGGTTTAGGTCTGGGGTAGGGTTAGGATTAGATATCGTCAACTAACTGACGTTAAAGGGTACCCTAAAACGTCGGATGTTGACGTATGGTCAAAAGCGTCAGACAGTTGACGTCTTAGGATGAGACTGGGCTGTTCGGTCAGTAGGACAGAAAATGTTATCTTATGGTTCACTTCTTATTTAAAGGGAAGAACCCAATGTGTTCATGTGGAAGGTATTCAGTCAGATCCATTGGAGGTTGTTAAGGGAGTCCCACAAGGATCTGTGCTAGGGCCGCTATTATTCAGCATATTATATATATATATATATATATATATATATAAATTGTCTGTATTTTAATATTGATAATACAAGGTTTAATATTTATGCAGATGATACTATTAAATATTGTTCAGCTTCCTCTAAGCAACAATCTGTGGATTTTTTACAATCTGCTTTCAATATAATTCAAAATAGGTTTTGTACCTTGAAGCTGGTTTTAAATGAGAAAAAAACGTTAAATGTTATTTTCTAACTCTAATATTTCTACTGAAAATTCAATCTCTCTTCGGGTTTCTCAGCCTCAGGGTATAGTCTGATTACAATATCGGAGTACAAATACCTCTGTATTATTATTGATAACACATTACATTTTGGTTCAAACTCAAGAAATGATTTTATTTTAGAAACAAGTCATGCTTTTCTTTTAATGCGCGGAAGAAACAAGTGTCTGGTACTTTTTACCAGTTCTTGACTATGGGGATGTAGTGTATCAGTATACGCACCCTCTTATCTTCTTGTCTCTCTGGATGCTTTGTACCGGTGCTCTGAGATTCATAACTGACTGTAGATTTTCAACACACCATTGTGATCTATACAAAATTGTTAGTTGGCCTTCGTTGAATATTAGAAGAAAAATGCACTGGTTTTTGATACAAAACTTTGCTTATTAAACAGAAATTGCCTGGTTATTGCTAATTACTTATTATGCTCTGAATCAATCCACAATCTGTGTGTGCCTTTTCCCAGAACCTCTCAGTGCCTCTGGACGGGCCATCCTGCAGGTGTAACTGGTGTGAATTTGTTTTAACTTTTTTACTTGTCTTTGTATTATTTAAAAAAAAAAAAAAATGTCTGTATGAATTATCGTATTCTATAGTTTATTGCATGAGTAAATACTACTACACATACACACACACCTGTGGACTCTTAATCTAGCCTTGCATTTATTCCGCACGCTAACAACGCCCCCTCGTGGGCAGAAACAGCATTCACGATGTAAAACATTGTTATGTATAGTTTCACTATAATAATCCCACAGTGACAAACATTTGCGCACTTCAGTGATTACCTCGTGCCACAATCGTCTGTTAAAGTAAGAACTAAGAAATGTAATTTCTTGTAAACTGCGATGTTTTATAATTATTGAACATCACCCACAATTTAGTAGGCCTATATTAAGTAAATTGATACAATTGGTAAAACAATTGCATTGTTAGATATGTAGTCCATGACTCTGTGTTTGCCGTAAAGATAAAGGTAAGATACAAAAGTAGACTTTAAATTGCATTTAATATGGGTTTCAATATATAGCCTAAAATCTAATCACTTTTATTTCTAGGGCGTGTTTTCAATCTTTTAGATACCAAATATGATCACAATCCTTAAAGCTGCAGTAGGTAACTTTTGTAAACAATTTTTTTTTTTTAACGTATTTGTTAAAACTGTCATTATGTCCTGACAGTAGACTATGAGACAGATAATCTGTGAAAAAGTGGTCCTATTGCCATTTGCAGAGGTACACCGCTCCCGGTCAGAAACAACCAATCAGAGCCAGGAGGAGTGTCTTAGCAGCAGCGTCAGTCACGCTCGTGTACGCGCTGATCACACCCCTCTCTTGCACAACACGCTGTCATTCAAACCAAACTCAAGATTGCCGGTGTGCCGCAGCTGTGCTAATGGCGGAGAAACCACCTAAACTGCCAATTTCTCGAGTGGTGGTGTGATCAGCGCGTACACGAACGTGATTGACACTGCTAAGACACTCCTCCTGGCTCTGATTGGTTGTTTCTGACCGGGAGCGGTGTACTTCTGCAAATGGCAATAGGACCACTGGGAGGAGCCAGAGGAGCTTGATTTTTTCACAGATTATCTGTCTCTCAGTCTACTGTCAGGACATAATGACAGTTTTAACAAATATGTACAAAAATTGTTTACAAATACTCCCAGCAGGCACAGGATATAGACTACAACGTCGGTCAGACGTTGGATTTTGGTTGAAAATGAAAGTCGGGTTGACGTCTAAATCCAATGTTTGTTTGACGTCAAGCTCCAACGTTGGGCAGTCATTGAATTTTGGTTGGAATAAACCAAACAAAAAGGTGAAATGCATGGCCGTACACTTATAACCAGCTTCACTTAAAACTACCCAGATATACTTTATTTAATTTCCGTTTGAATGAAATCATATTTTGTATTTTAAAGTCACCATGATGGTGGTTAGCGTTTCCTTTAGTTGTGCTCTTGACCCTTGACACTTTAATATAAAAATTTATCTGGCTGCTATGTGTTTACAAAGCACAATTGTTGTAGCTAAAAAAGCAATGAGATCAGGTGTTGTTGGCTGTTTATTGATGATGACAATGACAACATCATCATGTAATTCCCTGATCTTATTCAGTGTCTAATGTTGATTATCTAGGACTTGTGGTTTTAATATTGCTTTATTCATAATAGAAATCATTTGATTCTACAGCAGATCTAAGAGTCTTGTTTATCAAATAATATACTTGTTCTACTTAGTGCACAAAAACCTTTAATCTATGCTATTACTGGGACGCACACAGACATCAAGAAACAGCATATGAATCTCAACAATGGTGACAATCAAACAAAATATCCAGATAATCAGATCACCTCTGAGCATAAAACAAGCTACAAAAAATCCAGCTGCATAATTTATTCATGCCACAATGCATGCTGGGAGATATGGGTGAGTTTTGATTGGTGGTACCCAGCATGCAGCATTTAATTGATTTTCACCATTGTTGAGAATCATACACTGAATCTTGATGTCTAAGTAATAATGTAGAGGAAAATGTTTAATACACTAAAGGTTTTTAAAATCCTTTATATTATTTAACAACTTTGCTCTCATACTGTAAAATAAAATGGTTTCTGTTATAAAACAACATTAAAAACACAAGTACAATATAACCAAAACATTCAGGCAATTATATGACTTAATCATCAATAAACAACCAACATCACCTGATCTAATTTTCTCTAGGCTTTTTTTGCCACAATAAATGTGCTTTATAAAAATACACAATTATTGCAACCAGAGAAAATTTATACTAAAGAGTTAAGGGTCAAGAGTCCAACTAAAGCAAACGCTAACCACCATCATGGTGACTTTAAAATACAACTATTGATTTCATTAAACCGGAAATGAAATAAAGTATATCTGGTTAGTAATAAGTAATGCTGGTAATGCTGTTTGTGGAGTTCTTTACTCCTCTGCTGAGATCTTCACAGATTTAATGTGCTGCCATGCATGTCACATTTTTTTGCGGCACTTATTCCAACCAAAATTCAACATCTGTCTGACGTTGGAGCTTGACGCCAAACAAACGTTGGGTTTAGACGTCAACCTGATTTTCATTTTCAACCAAAATATAACGTCTGACTGACGTTGGATTAGTTGGAGTCCAACGTCTTCCTGACGTCACATTGACGAACTGTGCCTGCTGGGCTGCAGCTTTAAAGGAAGCTAAATATTTTCATGTTTAGACCCCATTATACTATACTACACTCTCAGAAAATAAAGTACATAATTGTACCTTTAGGGGTACAATGGCTTGTCACTGGGGCTGTACCCTCAAGGGTACAATATTGTACCCTTGGCATAGGGCATATATTTGTAGCCTTGTGATTTGTACCTTAAGAGACCAGT